TTTAACTAATCCATGTTTATAATGATCCTTTTATACATAAATAATGATTGACGACATAATTCTATCGAAAAATTAACTGGAATGTTTTATTTTTGGACATAAATAATAGTACCTTCTGAAAACGGACCCTCTTATGACGTAGAAACCTCATCTCGCCATAGTTAAAAGAAAATACCAAACGCCCGACGGAGACTGAGGCAACTGATATATTAATTCTTTCAACTGTGATCTCGCGCTAATTCACTCTGTCAGAAATCATGTATGATTAATCTCTGCCTGGAATAGTCTTGTTTCAGTATTAGGGTTTTGACGTCACATCATCGCCTGGTTTTCAGGGGTCCGAAAAATCTGGGATTTCAATAATTTTTTATAAAACGTAGGGAGCTCACAGCGATAAACGGTTTGCGGTGGTGAGCTAGTTTGGGTGAGTTCTATCGAATTATGAAATAATTTTTTTTTTTGTGATATAAGCCCATTCTTCTTCTTCCACTTCCAGTTCAACCGGAGACGACCCCAACTTTTGATTTTCTAAATGGGACACCCTGTATCAACGATACCGGAGGTGATAGGGTTATTTCAAACGATTACAAAGATATTTGCGTTCGAAGTTTCCATATGCGAAATGGGTGTGACTTCGCAATATCAAATTTCCTTTCTCTGTCACACTCATTGACCATATGGAAACTTAGAACGCGAATATCTGCGTAATCGTTTGAGATAACACTATCAAACCCGGTATCGATGAATTTGTTATGACAATCCCTAACCGATAATGGAATACAATACAGGGTGTCCTATTTTAAAATCAAAAGTTGGGGTTGTTTTCAGTGAAACCAGGAGTGATAGAACGAAAATGATTTCGTCAATATAGAGCAACTTGGTATACTAGCTGCTCACCAATTTTCAAAAACCTACCTCGAATAATTCGCGAAAATCACGAAGTGTGCGGCCTCTGGTGCCTAACTATGCAAGTCTTGCGAGTATGAACAACAATGTGTTTTATTTGAAAATAATTCATTTGTTGAAGTGCATATTCCAGAAACTAATTTTTTCCTGATGAAAAAACTCGAATTATTGCATGAACTTTTATTGTTTACAATGAAGAAACCAGTACCTTATAATAATATAATATACATTTTCTGAAGCACAATTAGAATCATCATATAAATGTTGGTTGCAATGATTCGATCTTGAGAATATCTTCAAGTTCTCAATTGCTGGAGATCCTTGTTTATGAAAATCGATGATATTGTTCATTCTGAGCAGCCTCTCCAACCATATCTTCTTTTCCAACCCCTCCACTAGAATTCCATCTCCTTCATAAAAGCCAGTGATATTTCTTGATGAATTCAATTATTTCTTCATACCTATACCATATTGTTGTAATAGCTGATTGCTTACATGGTTCCATTCCAGTCCATGCAAGTGCGTTGAGTGGACCATTCCGATCGTTCCATATGTTTGAAAACTGTGGGATTGTAGTGTGATATCAATGATGAATACCACCATTGTCCACATCAAAATGGCAATTTCTCTGCACAAAAAGTATTTTTTGTGCAACCGACACAAAAGTCGTCCATTTTGATACCAAAATTAGCTCTTAAATTGACGTTTCTATTACTGACACAAAAATAGGTATGTTGCTAGGCAACATATTTAGTACCTAGGAGCTAAAGTTGAATTTAAGTTCCTAGGAGCTAAAGTTGAACTTCAGCTCCTAGGAACTGAAAAGGATGTACTGGACGTCATCAAGAATAAACAACATTGTGACGATTGGTTATTTGGATTGAGACGCATACCTGATTTGTTTCCGATTTCAGCAGATTTGGCATTTCATACCCATGCTGGAGATATAAATACACCTTATTATCGTTTAGTATTGGAATTATATAAACATATCTCAGTTGAGTATTTTTGTTTTGATCAGGGAAGCCTTCAAGATTATAATACTTGCTTGATCTGTATTTCATTCGTTATTCTCGGGATGGATAACTTGTTTTTGAATAATCACGGCAAGCAATAGTTTTTTTGTCTCAAACAACGATATTGTTTTGCTTCATTTGATTATCAAGTCAAACACAGTGTAGTATGGAGAGGAATGAGGAATAAATAATCACTATTATCATTGTTGTTGATATGCTCACTAACCTAACATTTTCCACGTCTTGTTCCTATAGCTGGCACTGGCGCGGCATTTGCCATTAGAGCACCTGGTCCATACACAAATATGTCACTCTGTGGTTGTATTTATATTGAAACTACAATTCGAACATCCTTGAAAACCTAACCTGCTGTTAATGCAGGTAGAATATTCTCACCACATGGATTATTTGTCAATATTTGTTGCATTGCATACATATGGCACGGCATCATTTGGTGGTTACTTCACATGTTTATTCGAGTTAATTGTTTCGGTTGCAGAAAAAATAGCATGTTTCATTCGGATCAAAAGTGACTTTGTTCGACTCGCAAATTTTGCATTTGCGAGGCGGAGCGTTTAGCGAAGCCGAGCCTTGTCAAACAAAGTGTCACTTTTGATCCTAATAAAACAATCTACTATTTTTCCATACTGGAAACCTTGTACGTATTTCACGAAGTCAACTCATTATTCACTATTTTGCAAAATGATTTCGAAATAACCAATTTTCAATGAGTGCATACGGCAATGTTTTTGTTGTTCATACTCAGTTTGAAATTTGACGTTGATTTGACGTTTGATAGAGCCATCTATTGGTTCGTGATTTTCGCGAATTCAAAAGTTACAGTTACAGCATTTCTCTGTATGATGCCGACATTGTGAATGACGACACTGTATTATAAAACACCCTGTATAGAGAGAACTGTTTTTTTTTTCCTTTGTAAATTCAGGTGAGTGAGGATCCTAATCGAACTGCGAAAGCTTTCACTCCAGCCAAACAGCAGGAGATTTTGAGTGCGGCAAAAGCACTTTTCTCGAAACGTACGAGAACGTTGTACCACTGGATGTATCCTCATGCGGCCAAGCAACAAATCAAAACGGCCATCGCCGATTCCTGGGATTCCCTCGAGGATCGAGAAAAGGAATTCTATATTTCGCAGGTAAAAAATATTTACTGTCTCAATTCAATTCAATTCAAAGTATACTTTATTGTCTTAAGTTCTCACTCGTTGTCAAAGCTTGTTATACACATAATATACATAAAAAATAAATAAATGAACAGCACTAGTTTTAAAATCACACACTTGTTGACAACACTTGAAATGTATATATAAATAAATAAATAGTAGATTGTTTTATTAGGAAAATTTGCGAGTCGAACAAAGTCACTTTTGATCCGAATGAAACATGCTATTTTTTCTGCAACCGAAACAATTAACTCAAATAAAAATGTGAAGTAACCACCAATGCCGAGCCATATGTATGCAATGCAACAAATATTGACAAATAATCCATGTGGTGAGAATATTCAACCTGCATTAACAGCAGGTTAGGTTTTCTAGGATGTTCGAATTGAAGTTTCAATATAAATACAGCCACAGAGTGACATATTTGTGTATGGACCAGGTGCTCTAATGGCAAATACCGCGCCAGTGCCAGCTATAGGCACAAGACGTGGAAAATGTTAGGTTAGTGAGCATATCAACAATGATTATAGTGATTATTTATTCTTTATTCCTCTCCATACTACACTGTGTTTGACTTGATAATCAAATGAAGCTGAACAATATCGTTGTTTGAGACAAAAAAAACTATTGCTTGCCGTGATTATTCAAAAACAAGTTATCCATCCCGAGAATAACGAATGAAATACAGATCAAGCAAGTATTTGAATCTTGAAGGCTTCCCTGATCAATACAAAAATACTCAGCTGAGATGTTTATAATTCCAATACTAAACGATAATAAGGTGTATTTATATCTCCCGCATGGATATGAAATGCCAAATCTGCTGAAAACGGAAACACTTCAGGTATGCGTCTCAACCCAAATAACCAACCATCACAATGTTGTTTATTTTGATGACGTCCAGTACATCCTTTTTAGTTCCTAGGAGCTAAAGTTCAACTTTAGCTCCTAGTCCTAGGAACTAAAATTCAACTTTAGCTCCTAGGAACTAAATATGTTGCCTAGCAACATACCTATTTTTGTGTCAGTAATAGAAACGTCAATTTAAGAGCTAATTTTGGTATCAAAATGGACGACTTTTGTGTCGGTTGCAGAAAAATAACTATTATTTACAGGTCCTAGGCCGTTTCGGCTTTCCCCAGACCGACCTGATGATCAACCCCCAACTGGGCAGTATCAAACACCTGCCACCCCCTTCTCCCCCGCTAGCGCAAAAGAGGGTCATCCAGCTTCCAGCTGATGCCGCTAGAGGGCAGCAACAACTCGCCCTATTGTCATCCCTAGGAGGTTATGAGGAGGGGATGAAGAGAAGGGGGCGACCCAAGGGAAGTCACGTGAGGAAAAGGGCGAGGGAAGATTTCCAAGACGATCCCGAGCTGAGTCAGGAGCTGGAGAAATTTGTGACCACCTTCAATTTGAGCAATGTTGTCTGAGAAACAGAGTTGAGAAACGTTGATATGAACTTTATTCGATGAATTGTGATAGAACACACTCATTTACTGTTGTAGATAAATAAATTAAAAATGAAGCTTCAAACAACTAATCTTCTGAAAATATCCCACTTCTGATTCGTTTCAATCCCACTTCTGATAATTTAGGAAATGTTCAAAAACTCGCATTTCAGTTCGTGCCTCAAAACCTGAACCACCCTGTATACTCACACCTATTTTCATTCTAGCAGGACCTTTTGTATTTTTGTTGTTGTTTTACGTATTGAAAATTTCAACCCAATCAATCAAGCCAAGTCTCATTATCCATTTTCCCGTAGGAATGAAGCATTTTAAAAAGTAGCCAATGTTCATGAGGGATAATGTCGACTAAAATAATTTTTCAAATCGGTCCAGTAGTTTCGGAGCCCATTCACTACAAACAAACAAATAAAGAAAAGACAATCAGATATTACCTCTTTATAATATTAGTACAGATACTTTAATGAAAATTCAAACACCAACACTGTTGTACTTCAATAAATCGAAAGAAAACCTTCAAACAGCCCAATCTCCGAAGCAAATTCAATCCCACTTCTGAATCATTCCAATCCCACTTCTGATTCAATCAACTTCTTCTACGGTGGGTCCTTTGTTGCCCTGAGCTCCCTCTTTGCCACCTTGATGCATTTTCAGCATGACTGGAGAGCATTCCTGCTGCAGCTCTTTCAGCTTGTGTTCGTACTCGTCCTTGTCAGCTAGCTGATTCGCGTCCAACCATGTAAGGGCTGCTGAGCACTTGTCTTGGACCAACTTCTTGTCCTCTTCTGTTAGTTTGTCCGAAGCTGCATCTTCCACGGCCTAAGAAGGAAGATATCTAAGTTAAATGCTTCAAAGCGTAAAGTCCAGCTAGGTTAAATTTGAGACAGCACTGTATAATAAATAACTATTATTCCTGGATCTCACCTGTTTGGCGCTGAAAATGTACCCTTCCAGCTGATTCCTCGCCACCACCCTATCCCTTTGCTTTTCGTCCTCGGCTGCATACTTCTCCGCATCATCCAGCATCTTGTCGATCTCGGCCTTGGATAGCCTGCCCTTGTCGTTGGTGATGGTGATCTTCTCCGACTTGCCAGTGCTGCCATCTTTGGCCGACACGTTCAAGATGCCGTTGGCGTCCAAATCGAAGGTCACTTCGATCTTGGGCACGCCACGCGGGGCAGGCGGAATGCCGTTCAGGCTGAAGGTACCTGTTGAGAGACAAGGTGTTGCAAAAAATTTCTTCGAGAACCTCGAAAAGTGGTTCTAATAACTTGAAAAGCGGTTGCAATGACTCAGAAAGCATTTCCAATAGCTCAAAAATTGGATTCAATGACTGGAAAAACAGTTCCAATAGCTAAAAAAGCGGTTTCAATAGCTCAGAAAGTGGTTCCAATGATTCAGAAGGTGGTTGTAGGTTCCAGTAGCTCGAAAAGCGATTCCGATGGCTCAGAAAAAGATTCCAACGACTCAGAAAAGGCTACCAATCGCAAGGAAAGTGGTACTGATAGCTCAAAAAGTGAATTTAATGGCTCAGAAATTGGAACGCCTAGTTGTCTTTACTGGCAGGTTAGAGGTTAGGTCAGGTTAGAATCAGTTCCTCTCGGATTGTCGGAGTGATCATCATATTTCGACTGTCGAGGAGATTTTATACGTACCCAATAGATTATTGTCTTTGGTCATGGCCCTTTCTCCTTCGAAAACCTGGATGGTCACAGCGTTCTGGTTGTCTGAGTAAGTGGTGAAGGTTTGCTGCTGCTTGCAAGGTATTCTAGAGTTTCTCTCGACGATTTTGGTCATAACTCCACCAGCAGTCTCGATTCCTACAAGCAAAATAAATGATGCGAAATCAAAACACCATTTTTCCCCACACTGCTGATATACATGTATCAAGAATTGTTGTACATCTTGGCAATCTCACAACTGATGGAATTTTCAGAAAGTTCAATCTTGTGAGAAAATGTCGAACCGATCTAAGCACCAAGAGAGAATGGAGCACAGGTTCCATCAAAGCACTCAATACCACATCAATACCATAATATTTTGGGGTTTGAAGCACCCGAGAGAACTGGAGCGGAAATGCTTGAGTCTAACAATAGATGGGCCTCCCTCTGGGACGCTAAACTAGTAAACAGGGGCCCCTTTACCTCAAATGAGCATGCAAGGTTTCATCAAAATCAGCCCAAAGGTTTTTGAGTAATTAATGAAAAACTGATTTTTCTCTAAAAACTTTCAAACCCTATATCTCTAAAATGAAGTTGGGACACATTCTTTTGGGTAGAAAGAGTCTCATTTTCGCCTGGAAAACTGATCCTGAACGTTTTGCGGTTTAATCCTGGGTCACCCTGTATATAAGTTCAGGCAAGCCAAGGATTAGTTGATTTCATTGTCAAGTAACGGCTGAGTCAATTCAATAAAGAAACGATAGATTTACCTAGAGACAAAGGAGCGACGTCGACTAGGAGGACATCTTGGATCTGCGAGCTGGTGTCTCCGATCAAGATGGCGGCCTGGACAGCAGCGCCGTAGGCCACAGCCTCATCGGGATTGATGGACAGGTTCAAGGCCTTGCCGCAGAAGAAGTCTTGCAGCATCTTCTGGATCTTGGGGATACGGATGGAACCTCCAACTAGAACGACGTCGTGGATGGCACCCTTGTCCAGTTTGGCGTCGGTCAAGGCCTTCTCGACTGGTAGCAAGGTCGACCTGAAAAAAGGAGCGTAGTTTCAGTCGACTGCATATAATTCGTCAGAACGTATTCCCTCCGAAACGTTATGTATCGGTATATATTCGATCTATTATTTCAAAGATCATGGAGAAAGCTATCAACATCGAGCTTATGAAATACCTGAAACATTCAGGTATTATCAACGATAGGCAATATGGCTTCCGTCATCAGAGATCAACTGGTGACCTGCTCGCTTACGTCTCACATATATGGTGGCAATCTATCGAAAAATATGGTGAAACCTTAGCCGTGGCACTTGATAACTCCAAGGCATTCGATCGAGTCTGGCACCACGGACTCCTTGCCAAGCTTCCATCTTATCGCTTGATTCGCCAGCTATGTTCTCTGCTAGCTAGTTTAATCTCAAATAGGTCTCTCCATGTAGTGGTCGACGGAGTTTCATCTGACTATCTCATCATAAATGCTGGTGTTCCGCAACGATCAATTCTAGCACCAAAAATATTTCTCTTCCATATCTACGATTTGTTGGAAGCAACTTCATGTCCAGTACACAGCTTCGCGGATGATAGTACCAGCCAGGCAAATCAGAAACGAACGAGGAAGAAATGTTGACAACATAAATATGGACTTGGCAACAATTCTCGAATGGGGATCCGATGACTTGGTAGATTCCAATGCAAACAAAACACAAGCATGCCTTTCCTCTAGAAAAGCCGATCTCACTGTACCCAACATAAGCTTGTCAGGAGTAACCATACTCTTGAAAACATCCATTTCGATGCTTGGTATTACTATCAGCTATAACCTTTCTTGGGAAAATCACGTGAGATCAATTGCTAAAAGTGCATCCCAAAAACTTGGTTTTCTGTTTCTGGCCAGGAGCTATCTCACTTCCAGTCAGCTGCTTATGATCTATAAGGCACAGATCCGATTTGTTCTGGAATACTGTACCCAAACATACCCTGAAACTGTTGGATTCTGTCCAAAAAGGGCAATTCGTCTCGTGGGTGATGCCTCGCTCACAAACTCACTCACTTCTCTGGAACACCGTACAAAAGTTGGCTATCTGGATCTATTTTATAGATATTTCCATGGACGATGCTCTTCTGAAATATCAACAATTGTTCCTCCCTTGGCAGTCTCCACGAGATTAACCCGTCAAGTTGAGGCTTCGCACCCCTTCGTGGTCACTTTGGAGACCTGCAGAACATCTTTTTCCAAAGACTCGTTCATCCAACAAACACCAAGGCTCTGGAACACATTGCCAAAGGAGGTGTTCCCCGAGGCATATAATCTCCAGAAATTGAAGAAGAACACCAATTCCTTCCGTATTTCCCTTGGTTCTCACGATGTTCTCTGAACATTACAGGATATTCCTTTTCATGGGAACCAGAACATAAAAAAATGTGCAGGAATTTCTGCTACTTACCGAAACAGATCCATGCAGAGCTCTTCAAATCTGGCCCTGGTAACTTTCGAATAGAAATCAACCCCATCGTGGAGAGCGTCGATTTCAATAGTGGCTTCAGTGCTGGAGGAAAGAGTTCTTTTGGCACGTTCGCAGGCTGTTCGGAGCCTTCGCAAGGCTCGGGTGTTCTTGCTCAGGTCCTTCTTATGCTTCCGCTTGAACTCTTCCACAAAGTGGTTGACCAGACGATTGTCAAAGTCTTCTCCACCTGAGAGGGTAATTAGTTTTATCGAATCATTGAATTTGAAAATCAATGCTGGTGCTCGATTGATTGAGCTACAATTTTTTTTTCTACTACTGCTATAAAAAGTAGCGCATTTTTCATAGCTTACTTAGTTTCAAAACCATGTATTGCTCAAACTGTGAGAAATATTTTTTCTCACGGCACTTTGCCAATACCACATACATTTCCATGGAGAATCAACAAAAATGGACCAAAACTCAATTGGCTGCTGTTCAGCTTTTAATAGTTGTCACAACTGTCAGAAGAAGTTTTCAAAAATACTTTAGGGCATTTCTCATTAGTGCTTTTGATAGAAATCGCATTTTCGATCAAATATTATTCCAACAATTCATAATAAATAATATTATGTATATACCGAGATGTGACGATTTTGATGCATTTGTGGAAAAAGTATAGTGTGGGGAAAAGCACTCACCTCACTCGTGTGTTTTTGCATCACTCGCCCTTCAAGGTCGTGCCACAAACTTCCGCACTCGTGAGAAAAGTTGATTTTTTCCCACTTGTTGCACAATATACTATTATTCTAGTAGAGTTTTTTGGGAAATGAAGAACATACCTAAATGGGTATCTCCGGCAGTGGATTTAACTTCGAAGAGAGATCCTTCGTCTATGGCCAAGATGGATACGTCGAAGGTACCACCACCCAAATCAAAAATAAGAACGTTTTTCTCCCCTTTGAGGTTCTTGTCAAGTCCATAAGCAAGGGCAGCAGCAGTAGGTTCATTGATTATCCTCAAAACGTTCATACCAGCAATGGCACCTGTCAAAATTCATCAATAATGGTATTTGAGTTCAATTATTTGGTTGAAACGATTGTACCAAAATCTACATAGGACAAACTAAGAGATTTGATGAAACTAGGTTTAAGGAACATCTAGCAGATTTTTGACATACAAGGTGTCCCAGAACAATGTTGAATTCTACAGACTGAACAGCAGTTGTTTATGATGCCAGGATTATTATCATGCTTATCATCGTATGATTCGGAAGCTGGTAATTTCCAAATTTAATTTCTTTTTTCTTGCAGAAAAACTTTATTTACGATGTTCTACGAACATTATAGGAATTTCCTTTCTGCGCTCTGATGAGAGATAAAAAAAACAAACTCAACATGCTAATGCAGGTCATTAATAACATGATTACTGTGGTCAACTCAAAAATGAAATTGTTATTTGTTTTATATAATTTCATTATATTATTTTTGTTCTTCCGTAGGACTAAATTGACAGGGTTATGTCCTTAAATGGGGATGCAATTGCTTACTTTCAATGCAGTAAAGGATGGAATTATTTCTTGGGTAAGGTGCATACATGCGGATGAAATTTTTTGGATTATAATTGATTTTTTAGTACATGATTTGATGGAGAAATGAAAAATATTGAATAACTTTTGAACCATCAGCAATTGAATAACCCCATAAATGCTTAGTCTGATTAAAATGACCCCTCCCCCTACCACCCTACTCCTTTCGATCCATGACCTATATGGGACACCCTGTGTATCAAAATGGCGACCCTGTGAATCCAAAATGGTGACCTAACCTGCATCTTTGGTGGCCTGCCGTTGCGAATCATTGAAATAAGCTGGAACAGTGACGACAGCATCCGAGACCTTCCCTCCCAAGTACGTTTCGGCTATCTCCCGCATCTTCGTCAGTACCATCGAGCTTATCTCCTCGGGCGCGAACTTCTTGACCTCGCCCTTGTATTCTACTTTGATTTTCGGCTTGCCCGAGTCGTTCACCACCTCGAAGGACCAGTGTTTCATGTCCTCTTGGATCTTGGAGTCATCGAATTTGCGTCCTATCAGCCGTTTGGCATCGAAAACGGTGTTTTTCGGGTTCATCGCCACCTATATAGAGATCTGTTTGTTGTACAACCTTTTTTGAAACGTCTCACTTCACTTAGCAATTGCGGAATATGGATGGACGAAGAGAAATAGTACATTTGGGCTTTTTAAGTACTATTTCTCCGTTTTTTTTCTACAATTTTCACACTTTTCGCTGAAGATGAGCCTGTATGGGCTCGAAACATGTACGATGATCTGATTCAATAATTTGATCACTATTAAAATTGTGGAGACGACTTTGTGTTTTGATCCAAGGTATGTGAGTTCTGTTGAAAATTCCGTTTGACACTTTCGTTCTATGAATATTCAATATGGCGCATCCAAGATGGCGGACGAGTTTGTCATTACTTGTGTGATACGAAAAAAAATCGAGTCGGGCCGGGAGTTTGAGGATGAGGGAGAGGAATTTCCAGTAGGAGAATATATCGAACAAGTCTGTCGATAATATTATTTCTTTGAACATTTATTCCTGTTATTTATTACCATTGCTATTGAAAATTCCCAACTATGTTCTACTTTTGAGTCCGTTTTAAAAACGATTATTCAATTGGCAAAAAAATGGTATCACACGTCATTAAATTTATATCCGAATAATGTTATTCGGGATGTATTTTCAGTCATATTTCCCGAAATAGTAGGTACGACTCCATCAGAAAGATAATGTAATAAAATTAGATTATTTCAAGCATTTTTACTTTTTGGCAGCTTACCAAACGGAATAGGTATCCAGATTCTTCACATTTTATTTTGTATTCAGATACTACGAAGGATATTTTATATTCATATTCCAATAATAATATTTTGGATACTAAGAATAGTTCGACTATTCAATTGATTCGTTTCTGAAAACTACCAAGTAGGAAAAATCAGTGAAATATAGCATTTTCATTTCTCCCTGAAGTTGCTAGATATGAAAAAAATACCTTCTTATGTAGGTATAAAACCAAACCTTGATTTTTATGAATGCCAGTGAATGCAATGAATGCAATGATCAGTCCAACAAACGCCTCATAAAAAAATTGTGAATGCCGAAGCCACATTTACATGACGTTAGTATAATTCATCAAAGATTATTGTGTACTCTTTTATATGGGCTTATGACATTTTGAAGAAATTAAGTTCTAAACTAGTCATCCATATTTGGGAAAACTTGTTTTGTGGCTTTAGTCGCCAGTCCAAATATGAACGTCTTGTAACATTTACTCAATATAGCTAGCTGAATGGTGTCCATTTATAGTGGGATTATATAAACTGCTCAACACTGTGACTGTAAAATCGAAATATTTCTTTCAACGTTGCTATCATGATTTTCTGCTGCCTCAACCGATGGGTAACATAATTGTTTTATGAGGACCACCCTGTATCAATTATTATGATGATCATGCATCATTTCGAAATTTTTGCCCAAACTTTTGAACCAGAATGACAAGCCAGCCCAGTCGATAGAAATTAGAGCATCAAAATTCGGTGTGGATTCCCTCTCAAAATATTCATGTTTCAGTAATGAGTGGAACAATTCCAAAAATTTTGAAATAGTTTGGAGAAAATTACAAGAAATCACCCCTGAAAATTTCACACTCATTACCGAACAACCTGAATCTTGTGTTCTATTTGAAATTCATACACGTTCTGCTGGTACCTGTGAATTTTCTCAGATACAGAAAATGAAAATATATCTGTTTTTTTATGTTCTGGTTTCCACGAAAAGGGATATCCTGTAATGTTCAGAGAACATCATGAGAACCAAGGGAAATAAGGTAGGAATGGGTATTCTTCTTAAATTTCTGGAGGTTATATGTCTCGAGGAACACCTCCCTTGGCAATGTGTTCCACAGCCTAGCTGTTCGTTGGATGAACGAGTCTTTGGAAAGAGATGTTCTGCAGATCTCCAAAGTGACCACGAAGGGGTGCGAAGCCTCAACTCGACGGGTTAATCTCGCGGGTACTGCCAAGGGAGGAACAATTGTTGACATTTCAGAAGAGCATCGTCCATGAAAATATCTATAAAATAGATCCAGATCGCCAACTTTTCTACGGTGTTCCAGAGAAGTGAGTGAGTTTGTGAGCGAGGCATCACCAACGAGACGAATTGCCCTTTTTTGGACAGAATCCAACAGTTTCAGGGTATGTTTGGGAGCTGCACTCCACATATGGGAACAGTATTCCAGGACAGGTCGGATCTGTGCCTCATAGATCATAAGCAGCTGACTGGAAGTGAAATAGCTCCTGGCACGAAACAGAAAACCAAGTTTTTTTGATGCACTTTTAGCAATTGATAGGTATGGTTACTTCTGACAAGCTTATGTTGGGCACTGTGCGATCGGCTTTCCTAGAGAAAAGGCATGCTTATTGTGTTTTGTCTGCATTGAAATCTACCAAGTTATTGGATCCCCATTCGAGAATTGTTGCCAAGTCCATATTTATGTTGTCAACATTTCTCTGAATTCGAGAATGAGAAAAAATCCAATTTCAAATTTCATGCAAGCAATATTGAAAGATTTGTAGTGGATCAATTGAATCCTACTCGACTCTTGGCATTCTTGGCAGCATTTCTGATGAGTATTTGAAGAGAATAAATCTATTGAAAGGCTGTAAGGGGTAAATTATGATGAGTCATTGGGTCACCTGTTGAGCAGTTTATTTTATTAATACTACTCGATTTTTGCTAATATTTTGAAATTATGAGCCCATTAGTGCGTGCGTTGCGATATGGCAACACTGGTCAGTTAGCGATTCAGATAACTCAAATAATGAAATGTATTTTCTGTTGTAATTAATCCGAAGCAGAATAAACTATAACGATAAACTATAATGAAACCTTGTTTCATAACAATATAGTCATGTATGAGTGTGTCGCCTTTTCGTAAAATAATTTCAACTTTGGAAATTAGATATATCATATCATGTATCACAAGCACCTAGTGTTACCATATGGTAACAGCAGATTTAGAAAGACTCTGAATCCCATTCATGTTTTAATAATTTTTTTCATCTTTGGAAAGCGTTCAAAACTAATTGAAGGCTCTATTGAACAGTTTTTTTTGTCTCAAAAAATCTTACTTGACTCTTAGCAGCATCTCCTATGAGTCTTTCGCTGTCAGTGAATGCGACATAGCTAGGGGTGGTGCGATTTCCCTGGTCGTTGGCAATGATTTCCACTTTGCCATGTTGCCAAACTCCCACACAAGAATAGGTGGTTCCAAGGTCGATGCCGATAGCAGCCGTTTTTGCCATGTTGGTTACTTGATTTTCTTGAAAAATACAGAATCTGATAGAGACATACCTTGTGATACAATGAGAAGCGATTACAAAACTTGTTGACTTTAGAGATTTTGAAATTTAGTTGATGAAAACTAGCATAACCACGAATCACGAATAACTTTCCAGAATTAATGAGATACTGATGGAATAAACACATTGAAAAACTACCCAGCGGACTGTCAAACTGGAGATATAGCTGGAGATTTCATTGATGTCTATCATGAGGATCGTTTTTATTTTTTTCTGACGTTATTTGAAGAGATATAACAAAACAAAAGACACTTCCCAGTTGTCACTTTTTAAACTCTACAAAACAGTGTAGAAAGATTCTTCGTACAGCGTTTCGTTTTGGAGAGACCATCATCAACTTCACACCATGATAGACATTCTTTATCTTGGACATACAGGCTGATTCACGGTGAATGGTAGTACATTATACGTTTCTGGAGAACGCAACGTAGGATTATTTCGAAAATTTGGTTTATTGAATAATTATTTGTGTTCTATCGACCTGAAATATTCTCAGCGCTGGACGTTGCGCTTATATTGAAAAGTGCCAACAACTTTGATTTTTTAATGGAACACCCTGTATATCATTCTATTTTCAGATTCTCGATGAAATGACCCTATTAAACCCAGTATCGTTGGATTCACTATGATAATCTCTAGCAGATTATGGAATAAAATGCAGGGTCCAATTCAGAAATTGAAAGTTCGGGTCATTTCCGGTCAAACCGGAAGTACGGCAAAGCAAGTAAATATGTCAAAGAATGTCAAATGAACTATTATTCACAATCTCCAAATTTCGTTTCACTTCCTTCAATAGCAAAAAAGTTATACGGGTGAGCCAACTTGGAAAAATACCCATAGGGTAGCATTTTATTCAATGTATCCAAAATCAATTCCTGCACTATAAGTCATTGAAACTTGATCGCCCTGTAGAGTAATGGAGTTCTACTAAACTAACCAATCACAATAATTATACAATAGGTATACTGCTTATTACTTATGATTCAATCAAGTACTGAGGATTATACGTACCAATTCAGGAGATCTAGAAGCAGTGAACACTTTTCTGAAATAACTTCTCACACCAACAAAATAGGTTTCGAGTCGACATAGACTGTTTATATTCAGTTTGCAACAGATATAATACTCCCACTGCTGCAGAAAATAAACGAGTCAACAGCAGAAAGTGGAGAGACATTATTATACACGACGACCCAAAAAAGAATCAGGAAAATTGTTTCGTTGATTTTGTTGACGATTCGATACCAATTCCTGTCAACCATGTGATGTATGTCATTTTTACAAGGTGACACGTTATAACATACCACCCCCTATACAGGGTGTATCTAATCTATCAAGGGGTGATTTCTTGGGATATTTTAGGAAATAAAGTTCATAGAATATCACCCCTTGAGTTTTTTAGATGAAACCTGTATAACTCTTTAATTTTTGACAGTAGAAAAATTAACTGCCTTGCAGGAGGTTTCTGATTTTTTCTCTGCTCGAATAAACAGATACATTTTCACTATATGAAAAAATATACAGGGAGCAGCAAAAAGTTGATAAATTTCGACACACACACCCTCCCTGAAACGTGAGTCCCTAAGGGAGTGTCGCTCCCTTATGAAGCATTTTTTAATCCAAGTTTATAGGAACTTATTTTCTTATTTTTCATCGAAGAATCTGCTGTTGAAGTATGGTAGGCTAATTTTGGGTATATGTTCGTATTCGACCAGCGTATTTCCGAACACCCAATATATGTCACGGTACACATAACCTGACAGAAGAATCTGGAATCATTTCGAAACAATCGATAGAACAATTCGAGTGAGATATATTGTTCTAGAAGCTTCTAGAACAAAAGAAGGGTAGGGAAGATCATTCGAGAACGTTCGAGAAGCAAAGCCTGCCAAGGTATCTGATATATAAGGACGACCGGACAGCTGCCGTCAGTCAGTCAAGCAGCGAGTGTCAGCTGGAGAGACAGTCATAAAATCGTTTTATATAAATAAATTTAGTTCGAAAATAAATAGTGTCGTGTTCGCTTCTGCACCCGAATAACGTAACAATATGTCCATCACCTGGATCGACATGGACATCCATTGGATGTCCGATTGTGTGACAAATAAATATCCGATGGATATCCATTGGATGTACCTTTGGACATAATCGGACGTCCAATGGATACCCATTGTATGAACGTGTGTTATATGGGCAGAAATATTTACCATCAGTTCTACATGCGTTCTATTCCGATTATGTACAGAATTCAGTAGACAATTTGACTTCGCCCGTCACTTTGAAGTAGCCGTCAAACAATAACCAAGACAGCACAGAATATTCTTATAGAATGTTCTCAGAATGATCATAGAATATTTTCATCGTGCAACGAATATTCTATGAACATTCAATTTGAGATATTCTCGTTAGATATTCTGACATTATCCTTTTCGAATATTCTGAGAATACTCAGAATCGTATCAAATTATATGATATTGACGTGGAGCCCATAAAATTGGTAACGACTCGTGTGAAAATCCTTTTAAAATTTCGGTTTATGCGCCCGGACTAATATCTATTCCAACCGCCCGCTGTTTCAATAACTGATTTCTTATTGTGGTTTGTGGTACGAGATAGTCTGGTGTATCTCTGAATATTTTCTAAGATTTGGGGTAAATATTCACATCGCTAGAGTATCTCTGGATTTGATGGTATTTCTATTAATGAAATGAGAACTAATTCTCATCAGCATGCGCGATAAGAAAACGGTATACACCCTATTATCTTGAAACGCGATTATCTACTTCCGGAAATTCTAATTTTTTTTTTATCGCTTGAAGCGCACGAAAGGGAATTCCAATAATGTTCAAAGAACATTGTGCGTTCCTAGTATAATACCTCGTATAATACTTAGGCTTCGATAGACCGTGCAGATAAATTTGGAGTACAGGGTGATTGATTAGTTTGATGAAGTTCAGTTTCTCTTATCTCCTATATTCACAAAAATATTACTTTGATTCAGAACAGTGTCCTGTCACCCTTTAATACTGTGAATGATTCAAGACATCAAGACTATCCATTGCTAAAATCTCTCAAATTGACAATTTGATATCTCAAACGACATAGGAGATATACTGCACTTTATCACACTAATCAATCACCCAGCTTATTAATATTCTTTTCTGATTGAAGAGAAAGTTCCAGATCAATTACTAGATTATTTTTTCCATTTTTAAAATCACTATAGTACCTATTGAGTGTAATTCCTGGACAATCTGTATGAACAATTTGTCTGCTACCTTCATTCAAGGCGTTTATTGATAGTTTGTCATTGTCACTTAGTCATTCGCAATAATTTTCATAATGTCATTTTTTATATGAGCTTCACTACTCGTATTAGATTTATTCTTGATGGAAAAAACGAGGAAATATATCACAAATTTACTCAATCTAGATAACACAAATTTATTAAATGTCTCATAAGTAATATTTATTTATTTATTTATTTATTTATTTACACTGTTCTACAGAAAAAAAAGATTTCCAATTACAGAACAGGAACTAAGTAAAAATTTGCACAAAAGTTAACAATAGAAATCAAACCGAATCAAACAATAGAAAGAAACAATAGAAAAAACTTGGCATAATACACAATTCACACAATAGGACTACATTAGTAAAAAGTAAGAGATTGATACAAGAAAATTACTGCTGATAATAATAGTTATTGATTTGCCTCACATTACAATGAAATATATCAAGCTGGTTACTTATGTATATAGTAGGGGTCGCCCTCCTTGTAACTTCTTTATTTTACGTATTACAAAAACTGTTGAATGCATAAGCTATGGGTATTGATTCAATCTATTCAATGGTTTAAGATTTATTCATAATATGGAGTGTCTCAAAAGAGCGCTGCGACAAATGAGTTTATTTTTTTCTATAGGGGCACCTGAAATATTATTGCATTCTTGGATTTTACGTTGAATGTAGAGAAAGTATGATATATATTTTTATATCACAGAAGTTGATAGTTTTGGGATCATAACTAATAATTAATAATTGATATTTCGACTATTTTTGTACCAGTTCAAGTGAGGAAACATTTGGAATAGTATATAGTATTATGTAAATACCAAATTCGAATAACCTATAAGATGTTTGTGATGCAGAATTTTCCTATAGTCGATTATCCCTCATAAATATAGCCATTTTCATTTGTCACTATAAACCTACCATACTTATTTTATTTTCTGAGCGGTCATCGCTCCGAAAAATACGATGTTTTTGCGGTTTCCAACTGCACACACTGTAATTAGGTTTGTGAATTCTAGCAAAAATCAGCAAATCTCATTAGGAATGTTGTCCGAGGAGAATGTGTTTATGATTATATTCATTTCAATAAATGATAATATTGATAATCAAAATATCAAACGTGAGTAGGATAACGGTAGGACGTAGGATGCTGTCGTAGAATCAAAATCAAAATTCGTAACGAAACGTAATTTTTTCATCTCTTGGAACGTACGAACCTATATTATATTTATGGAATATCGCATGCATGTATATACCATTGAAATTATAATAAAACAATATCCAATTCGTTCTATATGAACAGTGCATGTTTGAATACTACAACTCTTCATCTCTATTTGATATCAATTTGTAGTTTCCGAGATCTATATCTGTCTATAATATTGGATCTACATCAAACAGACAAAACAGCAACAAGAGAGAATTTCTTGTCAATATCAACAAAATTACTACTTTTCAGAGACATTTTGGAAACATTTTGAAAACAGGAGTTGCCGGCGACAGTTTTTGTTTTTTTCGGAGTCCCAGTCGATGGCGGTAGGGTTTTTGTATGACTACGGACACAGTCGGCTGGGGGCGAATAGGTCTCGACACGTATCTTGTTTTTTGCAGTTTGCAGTTTGTGCACATTTTGTGTTTATGGTTAGTCTATCTATTTATTTATTCATTATGCATTTGAATATATACCTACCAATCTCTTTCAGAATATGACTGAAAAAAATAAAAAGTGGAAAACAGAAGAGGTCGGCATTTTGATTGAAGCTTACCTCGAACATGCTAATTTATGGAACCCAGCAAAAACATGGGCTATGAGAACCGAAATGAAAAAATGGATGCGTAGAAGCATAGATTAACGACTCTAATCTATCGTACAAGGAAATTGGTTCCTCATTCAACACAACTACACCCGAAAAGATCATATTGTCTCAGTACCAACGCGAAAGACGGAACTATAAAAAATGTAAAAATCGGGAGCCGGTCATGTTCTTTCTCAGAGAATTCATAATAAACCCTCCACCCCAAGATGTGATGAAGAAATCTGCCCAGTGGAAATGAGTGAAAACGTAAATGGAACTAGAAATCTGTTTGAGTCCGTTCAGTTGCAACAACGTTTCTGATATGTTGCTGCTTTGTTGGTTTTGTTGGAGTTTCCATTTTTGGAAACAAAACAGCGACTCGACGTGTCTGTTTGGTGGAAATCCGCCATAAATACTTGAATTCGTGAAAAAATAATACATGTCGGTCTGTCGCTTGATACTTCCTGGAAATTAACAAACACTTGTAGACCAATCCCTTCGAAAGCTCAACTCTAATTCATAGATATTTGTGGTTTGTGATTCGATCCATGCCAAATCGATTGAGAAAAGTTATTGTATACACTAATGTATCCTTAACTTCCTATACTAAATACTGACAGTATTCGACCGCAGCGTAGCACTTTCGATTGAACCTGGAGTAAGTAATACTTCCATATTCATAATGGACCATCACACATTTTTTCATAATCTCGACTCATTTTCATTATTCTATGATATAAACCGTGATACATTTTTCAATTCATATTTTGAAGCATTCACCATTGATATTTTTTAAAAATTTATTATTTTCAACAGTGACATTTGAACATTTTGATTGGAATTTCATTGCCAGATAGAGATTCTTTCAATTCTAATTTTTATATACAGTGTGTCCACTGCAAGAGCTCACCACCCCTGTTACTATAATAATATGATAGAGTCTGAGAACAATGTATTTGTTGGATAGGTAATCGAAATGCCCATCCAACCAGAAAATGATTTCATTCTTGAACTGTTTTCATGGCCAACGGTGAACAATTTCATTGACCCAAATTTCAAAAAGTACTATGGGACAGTTTTTCACTGAAAATATCGATAGATTTTGCAGAGGATCATTTAAAACATACCGGTACCTATTTTCATTATCTTAAAACACAAGGTGCCCCAAAAAACGATTATTGGGAACTACTTCAAACATATCTGTAAAATGTAGTGTTCTATCAGAAATAAGGTAATTCAATTTACTTCCCGTATTCGGAAGTGCGCTATGCCAGATTTACCCTCGGATTTACCCAAGATTTTTGAGAGATTCATTCAACTCATCATAATTTTGAAAATGAATGGGTTACTTGAAGATACCTGAAATTATATAGTTTAGTACTATATCTTTATTATTTTATTAGAATTGTATCGATCGTTTTCTCCTGGTTATACAGGGTGTGATTTAATTGATGGTTAATGATAAGGGATATGGTTCCTCACTTCATTTTGAGAAAAAAGTTCATGTGAACATATGCCCTGAAACTTGTTGTAGACAGTATATTGAAGTTATTATAATGAAATAATTTTTGCTTGAAAATTCCAACACCCTATAGCTCGAGAGCTAAGAGGTTTGATTAATCAATTGTGGATTGTTGAAATTTTCTTGAATCCCTTTATTTCAAGATTGGATTCTTGTTATAATATTATTATATCGTTTTCATCAAAACTGAATCATTGTGAAGCAGTCCAGATCAATTCCTATTTATTTCATTGTAGTTGCCAAGAAAGAACTATGTCATTGTTATTTTTCAAGTTTGAATAATAATTATAACACCTCTGGGTATACTGCTGGGTATACCCTATATAATACCTTTACAGCGCGAAGCAGTTCATAAAATGCTAATGAGGGAGGCAGTTCGTTTCTAGACAATGAATAGTACATGTGCTTAGACAAAAATATTTCAATTCGCCCAAGAGTCGTTACCAATTTATTGGGCATCACTACCTGTTCTTGTATCAATATTTATAAAATATTGACCCTGACACAATAATTCTACCATGGATTATTCCACTTATTCAGTGTTGTCATCTTGCTATTCAGCTTATTTATCGATAATAAGTTTCGTGGAAAAGTGGTAAGGTTTCAAGATTCGCATCTCCACCAGAGCAAGCTATTTCTTAATGTCTTTCCTTCTAGTTCAATGTACTAGGAATACTCTCAAAATTTTCAAAACAGTCCATTCCGATTTTTTTTTATGTTCTGGTTCCCACGAAAAGGGATATCATGTAATGTTCAGAGAACATCGTGAGAACCAAGAAAAATAAAGTAGGAATTGGTGTTCTTCTTGAATTTCTGGAGGTTATATGCCTCAGGAAACATCTCCCTTGGCAATGTGTTCCAGAGCCTCGCTCGTTGGATGAACAAGTCCTTGGAAAGAGATGTTCTGCAGGTCTCCAAAGTGACCACAAAGGGGTGCGAACTCTCAACTCGACGATTCAATCTCGCGGGGACTGCCAAGGAAGGAACAATGGGCGTGTACACCTCAGTAGAACTTTCAACTCAAACCATGTTTATAATGATCCTTTCATACCTAAATAATGATTGACGACATGATTCGATCAAAAAATTAACTGGAATGTTTCATTTTTGGACATAAATATTAGAACCTCCTGAAAACGGACCCTCGCTTATGACGTAGAAACCTCATCTCGCCATAGTTAAAGGAAAATACCAAACGCCGGACGGAGACTGAGGCAACTGATATATTAATTCTTCCAACTGTGATCTCGCGCTAATTCACTCTATCAGAAATCATGTATCATTCATCTCTGTGTGGAATAGTCTTGTTTCAGTATTAGGGTTTTAACGTCACATCATCGCCTCGTTTTCAGAGGTCCGAAAAATCGTGGATCTCAATAATTTTTGATAAAACGTAGGGAGCTCACAGCAAGAAACGGTTTGCGGTAGTGAGCTAGTTTCGGTGAGTTCTATCGAATTATGAAATAAAAATGTTTTGTGATATAAGCCCATTGTTGACATGTGAGCGAAGCATCACCCACGAGACGAATCGGCCTTTTTTGGACAGAATCCAACAGGTTCAGGGTATGTTTGGGTGCTGTTTTCCAAATATGAGAACAGTATTCCAGGACAGGTCGGATCTGTGTCATATAGATCATAAGCAGCTGACTGGAAGTGAAATAGCTCCTGGTCCGAAACAGAAAACCAAGTTATTGGGATGCACTTTTAGCAATTGATCTCACGTGATTTTCAAGAAAGGTTATTGCTGATAGTAATACCAAGCATCGAAATGGATGTCTTCAAAGGTATGGTCACTCCTGACATGCTTATGTTGGGCACAGTGAGATCGGATTTCCTAGAGAGAAGGCATGCTTGTGTTTTGTTTGCATTTGAATCTACCAAGTTATTGGATCCCCATCCGAGAATTGTTGCCAAGTTCATATTTATGTTGTCAACATTTCTCCCTCGTTCGTTTCTGATTTGCCTGACTGGTATTGGAGCCCTGGAAGAGAAGGCGGTATGGAGGGTACCTACTATCATCCGCGAAGCTGTGTACTGGACATGAAGTTGCTTCCAACAAATCGTTGATATGGAGTAGAAATAGTGTTGGTGCTAGAATTGATCCTTGCGGAACACCAGCATTTATGATAAGAGAGTCCATAGAATGTCCCTAGAATATTTGCATCATATTGTGGGAATATTCTAATATCCAAATATTCTCGAAGAATATCCTATGAACGTTCTATGAATGACATTGTGCTATCTGGAAATAGTATCACATTAGTATAGAAATAAATGGCTGATTCCAGATCAGATTCGCCCAGTAAAGCAGCACAAATGCACTATTCCTAATATAGCCCGTCCATATTTTCTTATCGTAACAGTGGCATCAGTGCGTAAAGTAAGACGTTTTAATCGATCCTCGAGCTAAAACAAACTGTTGCCAATTTTCACCAACGTAACCATGGGTACTATAATAAGAGAAGCATGACTATATCGATCAAACTATAGAAGTCGGAAAAATTTTCACCATGGCCGGCAAAGGGAAGAAAAAGAAATCGAAAAACGGCAGTAAAAACAGCGATCCCAAGGACAAAAAGAAAAAGGCGGGAAAACCGAAGAAAAGCGGAGGTCGCAGAGGAAAATCTAAGGGAGCCAGATGCAACGTGGACATTTTCACCGAGGCTGCAATGGAAAACGCTTACACCACATGCCACAATATCCAGGATCTGCTGAAATGGAGAGGGTTTCCGTGGCCTGATGCCCAGAAGAAAAAGAAGGGGAAAAAGTAGAATTTCTCTATAATTGATTTGCTTGAAATGTGATTGTTCAGTTAAGCATCATAAACAATAAATACAGAGTTCTCAACACACAGCATTTATTATACCGGGTGTACCAGGATCATATGGTACACCCCCCGTATCTCCGTTAGTTTCAGAGGTAATTGATTGAAATTTTGGATATCTCATATACATAATAGGAAGCACTTTCTGACCTACAGATGATTTTATTTTCACTTCCGGTTTCGCCGGAAGTGATACCAACTTTAGATTTTCAAATGGAACACCCTGTATATTATTGCATTCCTGAAATCTGCCTAATTTACTGAATCCAATAATGATATCACATTAGTGACATTTCAAACGTAAAAATGTTTTAATTTTTATTTTTCCATTTAAGTGTGCCATGATGGTTCCGACTTATTCCAATTGACCCGTCTAATGCTAGAAAATCGAAATCCCGTCAAAATTACTAAATTGCGTTTTTTATGAGCAAATAAAGTTCATCGTGATGGATTTTGGGATGAAACTCAATTTTTTCAAATGGAACCATATTGGTAACGTGGTACCATTTATTAGTACTATAGTCTATGAGAATTTTTTCAGATAATAGGCCAAATAAAAATTTTCATTTTCCCACCTAAACCTTCTGTACGATATATTCACCGAGCCATCTTCGGACGGCCGAATGTGCCAGAAAACGACGGAAATCCACGAGAATCAATGCTTTTCCGGTAGAAAATGACACGCTGAATCGAATGAGACCATAATCAGCCCCATAGGACAGATAGTTTCCGACATATCGGCGCTCAAAGTCAGCTTTTCACTCTTATTGCCTATAGGAGCACTCCGGTAGGCTCTACTACGTCTCTATTTTACAAAATTTACCGATTTCCATCACAGATTCGTTCATTACGACATCGAATTAGTCTATGTGAATTATTTCAGATTTTTAATAGGCCAAATAAAAATTGTCATTTTCCCACCTAAGACTTCCGTACGATATATTCACCGAGCCATCTTCGGACGGCCTGAAGTGCCAGAAAACGACGGAAATTCACGCGAATTTTTGCTATACCAGTAGAAAATGACACGCTGAATCGAATGAGACAAAAATCAGCCCCATAGAACGAATAGTCTTCGAGATTTCGGCGCTCAAAGTCAGCTTTTCGCTTTTATAGCCAATAGGAGCACTACAGCAGGCTACTACGTCTCTATTTTGAAGAAATTACCGATTTCCATCACAGATTCGTTCATTACGACATCGAATTAGTCTATGTGAATTTTTTCAGATTTTTTATGGGCCAAATAAAAATTTTCATTTTCCCACTTAAGACTTCCGTACGATATATTCACCGAGCCATCTTCGGACGGCCGAAAGTGCCAGAAAACGGAAGAAATCCACGCGAATCTATGCTTTTCCAGTATAAAATGAAACGCTGGATCGAATGAGACCAGAATCAGCCCCCTAGGACAGATAGTTTTCGAAATATCGGCGCTCAAAGTCAGCTTTTCGCTTTTATAGATGACAGGAGCACTCCGGTAGGCTACTACGTTTCCATTTCACAAAATTCAATGATTCCCATCACAGAATCGTTCATTACGACATCGAATTAGTCTCTGTGAATTTTTTCAGATTTTTAAAAGACCAAATAAAGATTTTCATTTTCCCACCTAAGACTTCCGTACGATATATTCACCGAGCCATCTTCGGACGGTCAGAAGTGCCAGAAAACGGCAAAAATCCACGCGAATTTTTGCATTTCCAGTAGGAAATGACACGCTGAATCGAATGAGACCATAATCAGCCCCATAGGACAGATAGTTTTCGAGATATCGGCGCTCAAAGTCAGCTTTTCGCTTTTATTGCCAATTGGAGCACTCCGGCAGGCTACTACGTCTCTATTTTACAAAATTTACCGATTTCCATCACAGATTTGTTTATTACGACATCGAATTTGACTATGTGAATTTTTTCAGATTTTTAATAGGCCAAATAAAAATTTTCATTTTCTCACCTAAGACTGCCGTACGATATAGTCACCGAGCCATCTTCGGACGGCCGAAAGTGCCAGAAAACGGCATGATTCCACGCGAATTATTGCTTTTCCAGTAGAAAATGACACGCTGAATCGAATGAGACCATAATCAGCACCATTGGATGAATATTTTTCGAGATATCGGCGCTCAAAGTCAGCTTTTCGCTTTTATTGCCTATTGGAGCACTCCGGCAGGCTACTACGTCTCTATTTTACAAAATTTACCGATTTCCATCACAGATTCGTTCATTACGACATCGAATTAGTCTATGTGAATTTTTTCAGATTTTTAATAGGCCAAATAAAAATTTTCATTTGCCCACCTAAGACTGCCGTACCGAGCCATCTTCGGACGACCGAAAGTGCCAGAAAACGGCGGGAATCCACGCGAACTATTGCTTTCCCAGTAGAAAATGACACGCTGGATCGAATGAGACCATAATCAGCCCCATAGGACGAATATTTTTCGAGATATCGGCACTCAAAGTCAGCTTCTCGCTTTTATTGCCAATAGGAGCACTCCGGTAGGCTACTATGTCTCTATTCTACAAAATTTACCGATTTCCATCAAAGATTCGTTCATTACGACATCGAATTAGTCTATGTGAATTTTTTCAGATTTTTAATGGGCCAAATAAAAATTTTCATTTTCCCACCTAAGACTGCCGTACGATATATTCACCGAGCCATCTTCGGACGGCCAAATGAGCCAGAAAACGCCGGAAATCCACGCGAATGATTGCTTTCCCAGTAGAAAATGATACGCTGAATCGAATGAGACCATAATCAGCCCCATAGGACAAATAGTTTTCGAGATATCGGCGCTCAAAGTCAGCTTTCCGCTTTTATTGCCAATAGGAGCACTCCGGTAGGCTACTACGTCTCTATTCTACAAAATTTACCGATTTCCATCACAGATTCGTTCATCACGTCATCGAATTAGTCTATGTGAATTTTTTCAGATTTTTAATAGGCCAAATAAAAATTTTCATTTTCCCACCTAAGACTGCCGTACGATATATTCACCGAGCCATCTTCGGACGGCCAAAAGTGCCAGAAAACGGCGGAAATCCACGCGAATTATTGCTTTCCCAGTAGAAAATAACACGTTGAATCGAATGAGACCATAATCAGCCCCATAGGACAGATAGTTTTCGAGATATCGGCGCTCAAAGTCAGCTTTCCGCTTTTATTGCGAATAGGAGCACTCCGGTAGGCTACTACGTCTCTATTTTACAAAATTTACCGATTTCCTCCACAGATTCGTTCATCAAGTCACCGAATTAGTCTATGTGATTTTTTTCAGATTTTTAATGGGCCAAATAAATATTTTCATTTACCCACCTAAGACTGCCGTACGATATATTCACCGAGCCATCTTCGGACGGCCAAAAGTGCCAGAAAACGGCGGAAATCCACGCGAATTATTGCTTTCCCAGTAGAAAATAACACGTTGAATCGAATGAGACCATAATCAGCCCCATAGGACAGATAGTTTTCGAGATATCGGCGCTCAAAGTCAGCTTTCCGCTTTTATTGCTAATAGGAGGATTCCGGTAGGCTACTACGTCTCTATTCTACAAAATTTACCGATTTCCATCACAGATTCGTTCATTCAGACATCGAATTAGTCTATGTGAATTTTTTCAGATTTTTAATGGGCCAAATAAAAATTTTCATTTTCTCACCTAAGACTGCCGTACGATATATTCACCGAGCCATCTTCGGACGGCCGAAAGTGCCAGAAAACGGCATAAATCCACGCGAATTATTGCTTTTCCAGTAGAAAATGACACGCTGAATCGAATGAGACCATAATCAGATCCATAGGACAAATAGTTTTTGAGATATCGGCGCTCAAAGTCAGCTGTCCGCTTTTATTGCCAATAGGAGGATTCCGGTAGGCTACTACGTCTCTATTTACAAAATTTACCGATTTCCTTCACAGATTCGTTCATCACGTCATCGAATTAGTCTATGTGAATTTTTTCAGATTTTTAATAGGCCAAATAAAAATTTTCATTTTCCCACCTAAGACTGCCGTACGATATATTCACCGAGCCATCTTCGGACGGCCAAAAGTGCCAGAAAACGGCGGAAATCCACGCGAATTATTGCTTTCCAAGTATAAAATGACACGCTGAATCGAATGAGACCATAAAAAGCCCCATAGGGCAGATAGTTTTCGAGATATCGGCGCTCAAAGTCAGCTTTTCGCTTTTATTGCCATTAGGAGAATTCCGGTAGGCTACTACGTCTTTATTTTACAAAACTTACCGATTTCCATCACAGATTCGTTCATTACGACATCGAATTAGTCTATGTGAATTTTCTCAGATTTTTAATGGGCCAAATAAAAATTTTCATTTTCCCACCTAAGACTGCCGTACGATATATTCACCGAGCCATCTTCGGACGGCCTAAAGTGCCAGAAAACGGCGGAAATCACGCGAATTATTGCTTTTCCCAGTAGAAAATGACACGCTGAATCGAATGAGACCATAATCAGCCCCATAGGACAAATAGTTTTCGAGATATCGACGCTCAAAGTCAGCTTCTCGCTTTTATAGCCAATAGGAGAATTCCGGTAGGCTACTACGTCTTTATTTTACAAAATTTACCGATTTCCATCACAGATTCGTTCATCACGACATCGAATTAGTCTATGTGAATTTTTTCAGATTTTTATAGGCCAAATGAAAATTTTCATTTTCCCACCTAAGACTGCCGTACGATATATTCACCGAGCCATCTTCGGACGGCCAAAAGTGCCAGAAAACGGCGGAAATCCACGCGAATTATTGCTTTCCCAGTAGAAAATGACACGCTGAATCGAATGAGACCATAATCAGCCCCATAGGGCAGATAGTTTTCGAGATATCGGCGCTCAAAGTCAGCTTTTCGCTTTTATAGCCAATAGGAGGATTCCGGTAGGCTACTACGTCTCTATTTTACAAAATTTACCGATTTCCT